CAGAAAGCGCGGGATCGGGATCAGTACGTCGAAATGCCGGTCGGGGGACGCCTTCTTTCTCACTCTCTGACACTAGTCAAGATGCATATGTACACCATCCTAAGAGCGAGCTCACCGCGCCGGGAATCCTTCGCGCAAGGAACGGAATTCTGTTCTCTTCCAGTCTCCGGCGAGGTAGACTTTCGGAGAGCTCTTCCTAGGTTTTGATTCGGTTCCGGTGGGCTTGAGAATACACCCGGAAATCAATTCCTAAATCGATTCGAGGTACCAGCACGTGAATGCGTTTCCAGGATTCCGATCAGTGCGGAAAATGTGTACAAATAGGGATGATGCGGTTTCTTTCTTCCTGTACCCTGCAGATATGTGGATGGGATCTTATGTGACGAGGCTGCACAGAATAAAGGACACGAATTCGTGCGCACGAGAGGGCGGGAAGCAGCGTGTCCCTTGAGTTTCTACGGCGAATTGCTGCGATGCTCGTCATCGTTCCAGGTCGATTGAAATTTCGATGTCGTTGGGTGGCACACCAAGTTTCGCAGCTCCCTCGGGAAATGTATGATGACACTTCTGACGACGAGGAGTCACAAGAGATCCACCCCCTCCCTCTCCCAGCGCCCGTCGCTCGACCATCATCGGAAGAATTGTATTCTAGAAACTATCCGTGCACACAAGCAAGCTCTTCGCTCACGAGTCATAGGCTGATGTTTGGGAGATCTGATGGGATCCTTGGACAAACCAATGGGCCTTGTCATGAAAAGTTTGACCGGTGATCGAAGTTTCGCTCCGATGGCGGAATGGAAATCCGGCCTCTTCTGCCGATTAGGCTGCTCGACCGAGACTCCATTCTGCGCATCGTTGGAGCATCGTATGTGCAGTCTACGTGCAGGAGAACGCGGAAACACCCCGAAACCATCACGTTTTTAGCTCGAATGATCCATTCGCGTGAGTGCGGCCTTACTTTCAGTTGACCACCGGCCTTCAGGAACTACCTAATCACTTTTACAACGAGGTTTGACTGCAATTAGCGGAGTAGTCTCGACCATTTGAGGCGCGGCAGCCTCTCGGTCGAATATGTTGCCACAATCGACACGGGTCGAGCGCGAAAGCGGAGCAACGTCCTTTGTGGGGGTCGTCTACTCCAGGGGTGGCCAACCTTTTTCGTCCCGCGGACCACCAAAGTCATGGCGACGGACCCCGCGGACCACCAAAATTTAGGTCACCCGTTTTAAAATCAGAACGCGAGAAGAAGGGGGCCAGAATACATCAAGAATGCACTTAATTTATCTTCATAGCACCAGATATTTCACCTCTTCGAAATACAAGCATGATAGAGATAGCAAAGAGGAGCTGCGCAGGAGTTTTCACAATCTCCATGGACTCCGAGTTCGAAAACAATTAAGAACGTTCACGCAACCTACGTTAACGTGTATAAATAGAATTAGTGCGATACTTGTGCTTGCTTCGACGACAAGATCGCGTCGATCTGAGGCGCTAGATTCGTAACTCCTAGTCGAAGTTCCGCGTGCATCTCGAGGGAAGTCCGATATCTAGTCTTGATGGCAGTGACAGATGAAAACGTTTTCTCGCAGAGGTAAGTTGTGGAGAATTGCACCAAAATCTTCATCGCTTCCGCGCTCAGCATCGGGTATTCTTGTCCAACTCCGAGCCAAAAATGAGCTCTCGACAACGAAGCGTGGAACTTCATCTGCAGGCTCGCATCTGAAGCGAGATCCAGCAAGCTTTCTTTCCCTTTCATGCACAAATTCGTGTCGTCAATTTTCGCGGTGAACGGATCCAGAATCCAGAGACTGCCATTTCTGGGATCTTCTTGCTCCGGGTAGTATTTACCGAACTAATCCATGAGGGTTTGTAAATGCTCCCGGACGATTACGACCACTCCCTCGCTGAGGTGATTCTGCTTCGAGAACTCATCGAAATTAGGAAACATCGGAAAATCTTTCTCTGAGACTGCGGCGTGCCAAAGAACTAGTTTTTTACGGAAGCCGTCAATCTTCGCTCGCAGCGTGAACATATCGCAATGCTTCCCTTGTAAGGATAAATTCAGCTCATTCAAATGAGAGAAAATATCGGCCAAGTATGATAGTTTGGCTTTCCAATCTACATCGGACATGATAGCAAGGAACGTCGAATTGTTACTGCTGACTGGAAAAATACCTTAACTTCTTGCAACAAAGAAAGAAGTCGATTGAGAACTCTCCCACGAGACAACCACCTGACTTCTGCATGCAAGAGGAGATGGGAAAACTGAGAACCCATTTCCTCACAGAGAGCTTCGAAGATACGCGAATTCAATGGTTTGCAACGAATCTCGTTCACAATGCGGACCACATCAGACAAAACGCTGTGCAATTGTGGAGAGAGTCGTTTCGCAACCAGTTGTTCCCTATGTATGATGCAATGGGTGCTCAGCAAGTTGGGGTGTCCGACCTTCTTGACTCTTGCTGTGAAACCCATCAGACGTCCTGTCATATTAGCGGCTCCGTCCGTGCATACCCCAATGCAGTTCTTCCACGGTATGCTATGATCTTCGAAAAAGCCGTCAAGGACTCGGAATATTTCGGAGCCAGTTGTCCGACCCGGCAGTTCCACAGAGCAGAGAAGTTCCTCCAAGAGTTCTCCGTCGTGTTCGACCTTGACGAAACAGACCAATACGGCTTTATTCGTCAGATCTGTTGACTCGTCGATCTGGATCGAGTAGAATGTCGACTTCTTGACCAAATCGATAATTTGATCTTGGATGTTATCGGCCATGTGCTCGATTCTCCGTTTCACCGTGTTGCGCGACAGGGAGATACCTCTGAGTTTCTGGTAAGCGTCGTGTCCGATCACCTCCTGACTCGCCAGTAGGATGCATGGTTTTATCAATTCCTCGCCGATGACGTATGCTTTCTTGTTCTTCGCGATTTCGAGCGATATCAGATACGAGGCTCTCATCTGGGAGTTATTGTCACCAAGGGTCATATTTCTCATTGAATTCTGTTGCTGCTTGAGTTCGTCTCGCATTCTCTGAAAGTACTCCAACGGTTTGCAAGCCAGATCGGGATGTTTCAAATCTCGGTGCCTCTGAAGTTTGGACGGCTTCATTCCTTCATTCGATAGGCACTCCGAACAAACAATGCACAGCGGCCTAGGCTCGAATTCGCTACCGGGCTCTTGAATGAATCCGAATCTGAGATAGCTCGCATCGTACTTCCGCGTGCGTTTGTACTGCTTTTTCGGCCTCCCCGATGCCGCTATTCTGCCACCTATCCTGACCGGAGAGAAGTTCGAGGTCCCAGATATCTGTATCTCCGACTCAATTAACGGCATGGCCTCTTCCTCCAAGTCAATAACAGGATATCGTACTTCCCCTTCAGTGGCTAGCTCTCCAAAAGATGGGTTGTCATCGGCGTCCGCGGAAACGTGTTTTCGCTTCCTGAAGAAGCTCTGGATTCTGGCCTGACTCTTCCCGCCCCATTCCGAGGAAACTGCTGGGGATTCTTCAATGAACTTGGGTGACGCCTTCCGGAAACAAGGCTAGAAGCCAGGCTCGAGCTCACTCTCGATCGAACAGTCCGCGGCGCGTACACATTCGACTGAACCCATGTGCGCGATACCCAAGCACAAATATTTAGGAACGGACGTTCCAAATCGAGACGGAATCATCTGCTCGCTCGGCGTGTGGTGTGTGAAACTTCGACACGCAGAGCACAGGTACATACACAATCACGTCTCGTATCCAATGCGCCTTCAGCAGCACGCGCGGCCGTCTCATGACTGACGCACATAGGGCTGTGCAGATTCCGCCGCGAAAGTCATGGGCTGTGCTCGTGTCAGATAAGCTCCCTCTGGTGTAAACTGGACAGAATGCTCCGCGGACCACCAAAATATAGGTCGCGGACCACCAGTGGTCCGCGGACCCCCATTTGGCCACCGCTGGTCTACTCCGTTGGAAGCAATGTTCGAGTGAATGTATAAGGGGTAAAGCGGTCCTATTACGCAAGAGGATTTAGCTCCAGGTCGTAGCTTCCGGCGATTGATCGATAAAATAATCCGAGGCTTCCATGATTTCCGGATATAAAGATCTGTGCTTCTGATCAGGAGACTGATTGGAGGCCCCCGACACAGCGTCATAATGGACAGCATCTTGCGCTTCGGAGAGCTTAGCGTAGGGAAGCCGACTATCGTTCGCTGCCGTGAAGCGCATTCTGGCGAGTGCGCACATCGACAAGGCTGCCAAAAAATCTTCTCCGTTCGGAACTATTGAGCTGGGCTGAAAGCTTCGTGTCAGAACTACGCGAACCTCTGGCTATGTCTAGTACTCAGTTCTCGAGATTGTTGTCCTTCAGAGATTTCGAGGAACGCCGGAGGCGAGGAGTGCGACGCCGTCGCTGGCTCCACGGACGGCAAAAACATATCTGCTCCCATGAGTGCGCCCAGTCGGCCTGCCGGCGCCGTTGATTCACGCGAAGCTGGCTCCGAACTTCCTCTCCGAAATGCTCGGAGCGAGGCAGAGAGTGCGACATCCCCTCGACTCGAAATTCTAAGCTGTTTTTTCTCGTTTTCCTCACCAATCCCATGTGGGCTGCTACCTCAACAGGACGGAGCGAAAAGCTCGCTGGAGTCGATGCAATCATGCTCTCCGGCAATCCCGTAACTGTTCCAGAGAATTCGATCGGAATAATCCCATGAATTGTGTCGCTCAGGGCTGATCGGATTAGTTGGAGAGATTTTCGCGTCAGAGTAGTCGTCGTCGTGACTGTTTTGTCGCGACGAAATGTCTAAGACCTTGGAATTCTAGACTGCAGCTTAGCTGTTCGTCGAGTCGACGATTGATTTCTCAAATCCGATCGGACGAACGTTCCTGCTCGAAGAACTTGAATTTCGATTGAGACTCGGAACCTAGCAGAAATTGAATGCGCTTCTCGGCCGATGGGCTTTTTGAGGCTATTTCATGAATTGCTGGCATGGAATAAAAACCTCTGATGGAAATCCCGCGGAAGATTTTCAGCATTGTATTCGCAGTACCCACACCCATCTCGCGGAGTAATCCGGGGATAATTTGGGAAGCTCTATGGTCAACCCCAAGGCGCTCAGTGTGTGCTTCAAGTTTACGAGGGGCGTGTTGAGCAGCACCACCTGAAAATCACGGGGAGCGAGATTTATTCACCACAGAGATGTCGGATCCCCGAGCTCCAACATAGGGCATAAGTGCTCAATCGGGAGATGTCGCCTACACTGCCACACCTTGGAAACCTGGGGTACCACGGACGAGTTAACGGTGCCTATTGTCAGTCGATAAGGTTCGTCCGTTCCGCTCTCCGGCCACGTCCTCATGAAAGCATAAATAACTGACGTCTTCTGCGTGAACCAGATCTCAGGGCTGACTGTGTCTCGCACATTCATCCAGGGTCTGGAAGGTGGGGAATAAACGCGTTTTTTCCCACGACGATAGAAATCAATCTCGATTCCGCAAATATTTAGTTCTGGCTCCAAGACGAAGCCCGGAAGGAGCAAAGAGACGACGCCGACGCATGCGGGAGCTGGTCCGACTCCAAGAAAGGATCAGGTACAGCTCCGCCGCGCGACAAGTCGGTCCGAAGTCTAGATGGAAGAAGAGCTAAATGCGAGGAAAACAAACTTCCCTTAGATCAGTGTGCTCTGCGAGTATAATTGAGAATACTTACCTCGTGCCATGGATAGCCTCCGCATTGGTTTTGAACCATTGTCCCATCTGTTCAAGACGTTCTTGGAAGATCAAGGGGATGACTCCGTCACTCCGAGCTCCTATATTGATGAGCACGTTGCCGTTGCAGGCCACCGTTGTAACGATCTTTTCCAGGAGATTCTACACAGCATTGGAGGACAATCGAAAGCTAAGATTCGGGTTCTGTTGGTGTACCTACATCACGCCAGGCTTCGAAGGCTTGGAGATATCCCAGGGACCTACCTCGATGCTCATGACATTCACGGGATCAAGTTCTCGGCGATATCCGAATGATGAGTCGTCCAGGGAGAAGACATTTTCGAATTTATGAGGAAATTCGATCCCGGGTGTGAAACTTCCGAGCGATGGGAACAATGAAAATGGCAGTGTATCGGACCACATTTCGATGCCCTTCTGACAGAGTTAAGAATATTACCCGTTTCCACAAGTGAAGAAGTCTCCGTGTTTGCATAGGGTGCCAGAACCCCACCGGTCGTTCACAACAGTATTCGCTTTCTCCTTGTATAGCCAAGCGAGGAAATTCGTGGAGTTCCAGTAGGTCTCCGGTGCCAGATCTCCGTCGCTCCTGGTGGGACCAAAGCCGACAATCTGAGAGTGGTCGAGTCTATTCGCTTCTATACAAACCGATGTATTCGATGGAATCTCTCAATGACTCGGGATCACCGAGACAAAAGATTACCAGATTATATCGGGGCTGTAGCGTGAGACCAGATCGTGAAGCTCGGCTTGAACTTTGCATTGTGAGTAATAAAATGTCCCGAAGTTATTCTTCTTGTCCTCCAACCACTGTGGGTTGTACCATTCGTATAGCGAGTAGTAGACACCAAACTTCAGTCCATAGCTCCGCACAGCCTGAAAAATTCCTTTTCCTAGATGCCTTGATCGTGCAGATTCTGTCTGAACGTTCCTCATCGAATGATGGTACTCACGAAAGCCAGATCTCCGACGAGATCCCTCTTCGGGCCAACTTCCAAAGCGTTCCAATTATGCGAATACATCGACGGCCACAGAGTGTAACCATCGTGATGTTTAGCGGTCATGACCACGTATCTGCAAAGATCAAAGACTGTCTCGAGATGCGGAGCCGAAAGTTGATTGAATCGCAAAGCCTGTGAGATGTATCATCTGTAATTTATATTTTACTTGGCTCCGGAATCGCGAAACATCTTGGCCCACTCATTGGGCTCGAAGAACTCGGCGGTGAAATCCCTCGCGAAATCAGCGTAAGTCCAAAAAGGAGGATAGTGGGCTCTCATGAATTTCGTCACCTTTGGATCTGCAGCGGGCCTGTTTTCCTACAATTTCGAGATCGAGCAGGGGTCGATGCTCAAATTTTTACGGGGACGATCCAATGATATGGTACTTAATTCAATCAGTTTGCCCAAGCGCATGAGAGCTTCCAACATATATGTGGAACGCCGCACATTCATCGCTCTATTCTTCGAGAGCTAGCTTTCACGAACCTCCCACAGCCACCAGAACCATTCGGAAACATACGCGGGTACGCTGTAGACTCCCCAATGAATGAGGATTCCGACTTTCGCGTCATCATACCTGAGGCAGAGCGAAAATGAAATTCGTCAGATGTGCTCGTCGGATATATATATGAAAGGCATTCCGGAAATAATCATATCCCGCTGAAGATATCGACGTACCACTCGGGGAGCGGTCTGTTGTCCAGAGATCCCCAGCTTGGGTCAAAGGTTGAAACAGGTGAGAGGACTGCGATGACCACCAGACTTATGATCAACATGTCGGTCACAATAACTGCCTCCGACGTCCCGGTGCGGATGCTCCAATTTTTCGCCGAATAACTTCCAGATAGGCGATCCGCACGATGTTGAATGGGATGACGTTTTCACACTATTCTGGAACACATCACGCCCGGGGACCTCTCACTGCTTCGCGGCAGCCGACGAGAGCTGACGGTTGGCGCTCGAGAGTTCGAAATCGCTGGCTGCTGGCATCATAATTGATCAACAAGGCCCAGATCGTCTGAGCGCCGGCGCCGATGGTTTGAGATAGAAAGCCTCTAACTCATTAATGGCCGTCAGCAACTTATAGGATCTCCGTTCAGATCCGTTCATCTCTCATCCGGACCAGGAAAACCGATTGGACCTCCTCCATTCGCACAAACGGGGGAAATTACGATTAATAGTCCACAAGTAGAGTCTCCTCAAGACCAGACATTTCAACGATACGAGCATTCTCTTGACTCCCTCAGGACGTTAGAATTGAGACTTTATCGTTCTCCACGATGACATGATGACCATGATGTAGCATGTACCCGAGCCTATGAGATTAGTCGGGACCGTCCAACTATAATCGGGATGTTCGGTCTCATCGAAGCTCTAATCAGAAGCCATCGTAATCATCGACCATTTTTTTGATTCGAGGTATTCGACGGCAGCAGGGAAGTGAGAACACAGAATCTTGCTGAGAAGCACAACGCGGGAGCCGTGAGGTCTTCCCGTTCCAGTGATGATCACAGTGACGGATGTTCCTCAAGATTGTCTCCTCGGCCAGCCAGCCAAGTGAGGGGAGAAAGGGTGCCCCTTGTTCTGAAAATCCGTGGCAAGGGTTCTCCGAGGGAAACCCGACCTACGCCTCGGCGCGAGGACGACAGTGCGCAGTGATCTAGCCAGAGCCTAATTTAAGCAAATCGGTATAGCCCTTGGCTTCCTCGAGTTTACCCGAGTCACGCGTCGACGCTACTTGCGTTAGAAGTCGAGTCGGCCTGAGCTTGGGATACAAACACAGCTCACCACATCCAGGGGAATCCTAATCACTGAATGCCGGTATTGAGAGAAAAAGTTGAGCATCCTGACTTATACGTCGAACAGACTGTAAGTCTGTTCGCAGAGGAAGAAACAGACTTTCGCTGACGGAAAGAGATGCACTGAGGGATAATTGCTTATGATCGCCTCTGAGGCGTGAACGTACGAAAACCCTCGATGCGCCATCGGGTACCTCCGGTATGAGGAGCCGCTCCACGACAAGCCTCATTCCCCAGACAGCTCCGCGTCAAGAAGCCGTCGATGATAGAGACGGTCCGTAGCACGCAAGATCTGTTGCGACTAGCCTGTCATCACTCATCCCATGAGACATTTCTTGTACATTCATAGGTGCAACGGCATCGTTTTTATTGACCCACAATCCTACACAATCCTCAAAACCCATATGTAAGTGAATGGGGAGGGCGCACTTTCACGTGGTAAGATAACGGAGAGTCCATCAGCGTTGAATACGAACTTCAAGTCGAAGAATTGCGGACAGAGGATGTCAATCTGTGGAATCGGACAATAAGAGTCGAGAAATCTTCTAGCAGAGTAGGGTCACGCCCTCCTAGACATCCTTGCAATATGGACGGGGGAGGCGCTCTCCTTACCTGGGAGATTTGCCCTATGACCGACGCATTAATCGAGGAGATCTCCAGGAGGTCTCCCGGCCATTCCGTGAGGAAAGCATAGATGACGCTGTCTCTTTTAGTGAACCACACATCCCGATTCTTCGCATCTCGCGGAGTTATCCACGGTCTGCAGGAGCGCAACACGGATTCAAATGTGTCTAAAATCGTCGCTCCACGCTCGTTTCGCGGAGTATCTTCATGTGGGAATGGCCTAGATACTAGGTAGGGAACGATGGCGCGAGCCGAGCATCCAGATGTTTCGCGGAGAACTTCAGTTCGAATCGGACTTCCAGCGAATGACTATCTCATCGCATCCGATGAGTCGAGGTCGACGCCCCGCACTAACCTGAGCTCAATCGCTCCTCTGATCTGCGTTCTTGAAGGAGCCTCGCACAAGAGGGCGACCGATACATAGATAGAATTCTCTACGCGAAGATAGAATCGGAGTATGCCCCCACTTTTTCGATGAAGAAACTGACCTTGTTCCATAGACAGCTTCGCTGTTCGAGTTCAGCCATTGTCCCATCTGCATGAGACGCTCCTTGAATATCGTCGGAAATGTTCCGTCCTTACGAGCTCCAATGTTGATGAGCACATTCCCGTTGCAAGCGATCGTGGTGACTATTTTCACCAGCAAAGTCTGCGTTCAAGTTCGAAGCTTTCAATCTCGGACTTTTCCGATAAATCTCTGCGACACTTCCGATATTCGGATGCGCTGAGGATCACGAAAACTACTTGCTCGGGAACAGCGGGGAGCTCCTCTAATTTCGCCAGATGGGCCGGGAGACTCAATCTTTGCCAGCTCATGTGCTCAGAGCGATGATGAGAAGAAGCTATCGATTTAGGTCGGCAATCATGTCGAAGCCCGCTCGTCCTACCGATCAAGTCATTATTCACCTTGATGTCTAATACGCTGGCCAAGTCCATGTTCCGACGATATCCCATCGACTGCCCATCCAATGGCAGGATAGATTCGAATTTATGAGAATGCACTTTATCTGAACTAGATCTGAAACGAGAAAGAACGCGCTGTCGGAAGCATGCATGGAGTCAATCCACAGGTCTCCAGCAGGACATCACGGGAAGAATCGTATGAAATGCAAAAGAGCCTCCCGAGGTCGAGTATACTTCTCAGCGCAAGTGTAGAAATCTCCGTGATTGCACGTAATTCCGGAGCCCCATCCATCGTTCACAACGACTTCATCTTGTACCGGGCTATGACTGTATAGCCATGCGAGGAAATTTGTGGAATTCCAATACGTATCTGGTGCAGCCTCCCCATCGACCCTGCAGAATTGTATTTGGCCAAAATGGGGTCTGCCGTAGGGTATCGCAACCGATCCGAAGTATTGATCGTCGTCATCATCATAATCCGAAGTTGACGCCGGAAAACCTCACCGGAGCACGTCGGGCCTGTAGCGCGCGACGAGATCGTATAACTCCGGCTGTACTTTGCAGGCTGAGTAAGTGGTCTGAGTGAACGACGATGCTTTATCCTTCTCCCACAGATCGTTGTACCATTCGGGCAAGGTATAGGACACACCGAATCGCAACTGTGCATTTCTGACCGCCTAGGGAGGGAAAATCAGAAAGCAGTGGAAAACCTCGGTAAATTCAAACTGGAGTGGTCCATTCCCTCCCTGTGGGTGTTCTTGGAAGACAGAATAATGATGATGCAGGGAGATCGGGTAGACTTACGCCCGCGAGATCTCCGACAAGGTCCCTTCTCGGACCGACATCGGCGGCGTTCCAATTTACGGACCGCGAAGACGGCCACAACGCGAAGCCTTCGTCGTGTTTTGCGGTCAGGACGACGTATCTGCGGATAACCCGGAGGTTCAAAACAAATCCAAGTTCCCGAGCTCCACAACGAGAGAATACTCAACCGTGCACGTACTTGGCGCCGGACTCGTGGAAGAGCCTAGCCCACTCATGCGGATCGAAGAGCTCGGCTTTGAAATCAGGAGCGAAATCCGCGTAGGTCCAGTGCGCCGGATAACGCTTCACGAAATGCTTCACTTGGTAATAACCCTTCATTTCGTGACCCTGTTGATTGGGAAGAACTTCCGGTCAGCGGCGTCGGAGCCTCTGCATCAGAACCGCTCACAAGACTGTCGCCGATTTCAATGTATGTATCAATATCATTACTCTTCACTGTCATGCGTGGAATTAAGGCGCCTGCCGGCGTCATCCTGACTAACCTGCCACAATCGCCAGAACCTCTCACTGACAAACGAAGGCACGCTATAAACTCCCCAGTGAACTAGGATTCCTACTTTCGCTTGGTCATACCTGGAACTCAGAAAGCCTCGTATTGTTTCTCGAGGACTCGTAGAATACTCCGACTGAGTCTTCAGGCCGACGATTCTGACAATCAGATGCGAACATACCATGGAGGAGTTCTCCGTTCATCGAGTGAGTGCCAATAGGGCCCATGTTTCAGTCCTTCGGAAATCGCAGCGATTGAACATGCAGAGAGGATGTAAGTGAGAGACATAAGGGCTCACGCTCTGCTACGGGCAAAAAACACTCGTGTTACTCGCTCCTGATGCATCCACTTCGCGTTCGATGCGAGTGAGGGCTTCTCATGAATCTCCCGCTTCTACTCCTCTACGAGAGCCACTCTGCTTTGGGACTATTCTCAATGATCTCTGAACGGCCGGTATATCGTGGCGGCGAAGAGGACCTCTCTGCTCAGCTCGTCGCGCCAGCTCATCAACGATATTCTGTCTCCATATTTCGGAAGCGTTTCCTCCATTCTCCTTTGCAGGGCGCTCGCAGATTTCGCCCTTGGGGGTCTCTCAGTGTATATTGTACCCTTATGCGAGCTTTCGTGTAGGTACTTCATGCTCGCTGGGAGGCTATTCCAGCTTGTTTTCCCCTGCGTCAGGGAATTTCGCGGTAAAATACGCTCTCCCCGGAGCAAGCTCAAGCCTTTTCCGGATGATCTCAAATGGACATGATTTTTCTCGGGCTGAGCCGGTTCCCCCCGCGTGGGATAGATAACCCATCATCCTCGTATTGTGGCGGCTAGTACACCGCGGCGAGTGAACTCGGCTAAGGAATATTTTGTCTGCAGAGCGTGATTAAAAAAATCGTGACAAGAAAACAGACTGAATCTCGAGAACGCTCCCGAACTCGAAACTGTTCTCATTCGAAACTCGAGAACGTTCTTGGAAAAAATCTCTGAGGAACTGATCTCGTCCAAACATTCCTCCCCGGCTCGCCGGCTCGAGTCCGAACACGCCAACTCAGGAGAGATCGCAAGATGTCTTCAGTCATCGCCTCGGCTGCACCGGTAATTTCTTAGGAGAAACATCTCGGGACCGCAGTCCTGACCTTTTTCTTCTCTGGGATCTCTGAGATTATGTTTTCGCGATACGTTCCTCTGGAGAGCCGATGCTCGCAGATTTCATCTGTTCGACCTGCTGTTGCGAGAGCCTTGGACGGGACATTTCCGAATGGGAGGTCGTCAGTTAGGGGTCAAGTGTTGCCAAAGGACACCGTTCCTTACGCAAGCTCTGCGATAGATGTCGCGTTCCACGACTTTTTAAGGGCCCCGGACTCCTGCGAGGCGGGCAGGAAGAAGACCAGGATCAATCACCTGTGATCAATGACCTAGCCCGGATCTCCCTGAAAGGGAAGGGAATCAGATCCGGATTCGAATTTGACGGGAACCGCCGGGTGTGAACTTCCCGCCCTTCCCTACACCCTCCTCTAGTCGAGTAAAAAAACCGTCCGGAAGGAGACATACGCGGAAGATTCTTCCCACGTCTGGATGACGGGGGACACGCCGGAGCCTTGCGCCCGAAACCAGCGCGAATCGCGACTTCAAGCTCCGGGAATTCCATGAGGCGCGAGCATGTCTCTCGCGGCCGCCCCGTTGAGCGCCCATGACTTCCCTGGTTCACGAGACAGCGTATGCCCGGCATGAATTCCGTGAGGGCGTTCGTCGGATACACGGATCGTGGATCGTCCCGTTTTCCGAATTCGATGCTGATATTCGTTCTGGCTTGAGGGCGATCGCGGTTCGATACCCGGGAACTCCATGCCTTGCTTAGGCTGTTTGCCGAACATCGGTGGGTGGCACCTCCTGTGGGTTTGAATCGCTTCCATTGCTATCCAGTAGTCACTTTCAATGATTTGCGTCGAAGCCGATGTGTGACAAGCGACTACACCCGAGGTGTCGTTGCTCTGATTTCTTGAATTTATTCACTCGCAGCCGAATGTGTGACAGACACGGAAGGCTACCGTCAACAGCGACAGAGAGGCAGCTACGCTTAACTAAGCATCAGCCTTTTCTGAAGTTTTGTGAACACGAATTCTTCTCGAGGGCTGCGTCTTTCGGAGCACTCGAAAGTCGTTCGCATTCCGGCATCTGCATATGATGCGGTGGAGATAAATTGCCCGCATAGACGCCCAAGCGAACGAAGAGCTCGGGTGACCAGAAAAACCGTGCCGTAGACCCTACTTCAAGGAAAACATGGACTCCTCAGAAATGGAGCTTGACTTTATTCGCGTCTGGGTTATTACGATGAATACGGAAGATTATTCTGCCATGATTTCGGCTACGATCTCTCGCTATGTGTTGGAGGCCTGAAGAGTATTCTTTCGGTTGATAGATATCACGTCACATCGATCGATCAACCAATTATGAATGAACCTAATTCAATTCCCCGAGGGCCTATCTAAATGCCTTAGCAGCAATGCCCCTAGAAATTCCTATAATATTTCCGTATGATCACTCGAACACGCGGGTAGATGATTCTCGTCTTGATTGACTTGTGTGTATTGATGATTGTAAATAAATATAATTCATTCGCTGAGGGGATGAATATTACAAAGCTTTCTTGTTCTTCGCTACACGAACACCTGCGCGTAGACCCAGTTCTTGAAGTAGATACTCAGCTCACTCCAATATGACTAGCGGTAATCATATGCAAATGGCCGTCCGCCTGAGAAATGCATATGTGATCCGTAATATTAAGCGATGAGCTTCCGATGCTGCATCGTTTGATCACTTCCACTTAGCGATGGAATCAATCAGCAATCTGGGTTCGATTCCCTCGAATCGCGGTGAGGATTCGGGTCAATCAGTTTTCAATTATCCCTTATCTGATCTCCTAAATATACACTATGGTGATGATGATGATCATAAGATTTCTTCTATGGAGATGATTCCCATGGCGACATGGATCGAGCCCGAATTGATTCGAGGTCGGGGGACAAAAACTACAAATCGGACGGTACTCCAAGGTTCAGGAGTGCTGTAGAAATCGACACGACAATTCCAATAAGGTTCGGGAAGCCGCTGAGCTGACGCAACCATTCAGCCGAGAAGGCTGTAAGGTAGAGATGGGACTTCCGCAAATGCGGATCCTCTTTTCGGCATTGTTCCCCAACTTTCTTGATCATTAATCAGGGACCGCTCGCTCCCGATCGGAGCCGTCACGCCTCCCGAACCTTGCAGAGTCTTCGCATGAAACGTCGAAGCTCACCGTCATGACACGGGAGAGAAGGCTCTCAAAAGATGTGGTTTTGGAAACTGCACGAGGTGAACTTCCCCCAAGGATCCAGGGAGAACTTCGATGAATCTAATCCAGATGAGCCATCAGACTTGTCAGTAATTCTTATAGCTAGCGAGTCTACTCGTCCCAAATAATACCCACCGCAGTCTCGATATGAGGATTTCCAGCTTATCAATCGAGGAAGCCGATCGTAGATTGCCCTACGAGTCGCGATTGCAAACGCTGTTTTGCTTCGTTTCATACATTCTAGGTATATAAATAGAGTGGTATAGAATCTGCCACAAAATATTAGATCATATATCACACATCCAGCGTCTTCCGAGGACAAGGAGGTAAGATGATAAACATCTGTCTCCTTGTCCTACCGAGATGCTGGAACGGAGCCGTCTTAGAAGCTTCGCAACCACTGTTGGGCTCCGTGGGCGTCCGCAGAGCAGATATCGCTGCATTCTCTTTTTACATCCTAAGACTCAGATTAAAAGTTGTACGCTTCAAGTTCAATCGCGGCAGCCTCCAAGGCAGTTCTGCATTCGTCGTCCCAATGAGATGTTGCACCAGCTGAACCATTGGTTACGGTGGTGAACTGGAGATCAGCGCCGGCACTGAAATTGAATTCAGATTTTAAGGAGGTCGCTCGCAGGCATAGACCGAAGATTTGCAGCATCATGTCAGTGCAAGCTTGTGAGCTTGAACTCGGGATTCCGGGCCAAGTGAACATCACGCTCTTTTCGAGGCGGTATCCTTCAATGCGAGGGAGCGAGTGGTATGTCAAATATGTTCATTTCGACGGTGGCACCGCATTGAAAATCATCCGACGGATCCAGAATCCGTCTTCTGAGCATAGAAGCCCTCGTTTCGAAGGAATCTCGCTCGTTCAAGAGAATATGTGACCACAGAGCGATGGATGACTTCGTTCCAAACATATATCGACTGAAGCAGGCAGCAATACATCGAGCTCGATGCTTTGATATTCGTGTGGGCCAGCTTTCCCGTACGAGCTGAGGCTTCAGCGCACGCGGACGGTTCTCGCCATGCGATAAAGATCTCCGCTCCCAAACGAGTTATCGATCCCCAGGAGCACCATCAACAGGAAACAGAATTCGTCTCATGCTCGGCGAACGATTGAGAGGAAGGAAACGTTGCCGACTTACTTGTGAGCCACGTTCGGAGTAGTCACCGGTGGCACGAATTGTGTCGGAGGTAACAAATCCAATTGCTGAGGGGGCGAAGCTTCCGTTGGAGGTGTGGCTGAAGTCACCGAGGGAACACCCACCGTAGCTCCTCTGAGACCCCCTATCGACAAGTCAGCTTGGCCGTTGAAACAGCTCTCCCACCAGATATCCCCAGTACCTTCGGTGGTACTCTGTAAAGCATCTGCGGAGAAGAAGATACATTCCTCAAGAGAAAAGCCTGATGAGCTCTAATGATCCGAATGGAAAGGAAAGCGACACATCGATTCGACACGGAAGCTCGACGAGCGCGATCCGAAGCGTGAGTTCCAGGAATCTGCCATGATTTCACCGGAAGTTTGATAGTCTGCTGCGTAGCTCATGAGTGAAGCCTGGGAAATGATTTTCACAAGCCGCAGACTCTCGGGAGCTGACAAATTCACATATCCATCCATTATGGAGCTCATTATGCATGAAAAAAACAAAGGAAGTAAGCTAGACCCTCGTCATGAACTGGCGCGCATTTTCATCACCCTCGAGAAGTTGAGCCGCATTAGAGAATCTCGAAGAGCAAAAACACCTGGGTGATCACTTGGCGAGTTCCGATGTAGAGTCGGGAGAGATGGAAGTCTCTTTGTGATAATCGCGAAGAAAATGGGAGGAGGCTCCCTGCGCAGGAATGCACGATGGCCGCTCCGGAGAGCGAAGGTTTTGTCCAGTAGTCAGGAACGAGACGAAGCAGGCGGATCCCGTTGGCGGTGGGGGAGGGATAGTTGAACGGATATCTCTCCAGATTTTCCAGAATTTCGCGATTATCGGGAACAGAGCATACCCCTGATGGCTTTAGAGAGAATCGCTCCTTTCTGAAACGCCTTCCTCACTGATCTTCTTCTTCCTCCGTCTACTTTCGTATCCAGAGTATGCATTCCCACTCCTTCCAGCGGAATCATGGAAGGCGTTCTGACAGCCGACAATGCGAGACAATTCCCTTCCATGTTAGTCGATTCTCCGGTACTAGGCATCTCACGGGAGGGGAAATCCGCCTCGTCCGCATTAGAATAGCATCTATCCAAATGTCGCGATTGCGGCGAGTCGGAGAGTATGCAAGGATTTTTCTGGAGGCATTGGTCGAATCGTTTGAATCAAGCTCGCCTAAATCTCGTAGCCGACACAGGATGGTCGTTGACCGCGAGCAGCAAAGGGAACAGGCCGCGTCAGCTTGGCGGAAGGATAGCTCAGGTCAGTAGTTCGGTCACGTGACAAGTGACTCAGTCGGCGGTCGTGTACGTGTCCCCCGAGTACACTACATTATGGACCCCGAAGTTTCGGATTCTCTCATTTCTATTTGCCCTAGTATCCACCACGTTAATTCCATGAGAAAATCCCTTTGGAAAGCTGGATGCGGAAACGCGGAATCTATCAATCTATGTATGTCTACACAATTTTCTTCCCACATCAATCAAATTAGCTACGGAGCGACACCTTCGGATCCGATCAGCTATCAAGGAGAAATGTTTTTGAGTAAACACGGATGGCCTCACCATTTTGTTCAGTCTGGTGCTCCTCCCGCGACACCGGTCCATTAACGAGTAGTTGTCCGTCGGCTAAAACGGTCCCCTGGGGCACACTAAAGACACCGTCGGCTGTGGTCACTTCAACGACCTCGAGCTGTTCTAGCCCCAGCTCACCCTCCGAGAGTATCCATGAGAGATCGCCTTTCAGCGGATCCGTCAGGAGACCTTGTTCCATCTCAAGACCTTCAGAGAACATGAACATCAGACTAACAGTCAACCATCATTGCTTGAGAGCAACCGAAAGTGAAAATGGTTCTGATTGAATTTCAAACCATCTCAAAAAAAAATTCGGGTCCGCGGTCCGAACTCACTCTGCACGGCTTGCTCCGTCTCGATGACAACTTGTTGGGCCGGGTTGCCCACCGATACGAAGCTAGAGTTGATTGAACTTTTCTCTAGCGTCGGGAAGGAAGGCAGCGGTGGTGAAAGATTTCCGCAATGTGGCTGAAGAGGACTGCATGTCTTCTCCTTCTGGAAGGCAGTCGAATGTCTCATTTTTTCCGAGCGAATTCACCCGTTTGACGCCTGAACTCGAAAACATCCGATGCGCATACCTTTTGAATGAGTTGCACAACTTTGGGCGAAATTCCAAGAACGACGTCTTTAGTCTCGATCGTTTTCTTCTTTCCCTGCGGTCGACTTGTGAAGCTGGTGTTCGATGTGACCTTCCTCTTTTTGAATGAACCGTCTACCATGTGATTGACGTAGTTTGGATCCAATTTCCAGAAACCGCCTTTTCCGGGTTCGTCTTTTTGCCGAGGAATTTTGATGAAGCATTTGTTCAAGGAAAGGTTGTGGCGGATCGAGTTCTGAAAATTTCGCTTGAGTTTCAATACACGAGCCATCGCGCACTTCGATTCAGCTGAAGCCCGGCAGCCGCTCGTTCCGGCTGAGCTACACGCCGCTGATTCAAGAGTGAAATCTACTGCACGAACGATAGGGCAGAAGTGTAGAGAATGAGCTCACCTGCCAGCCGGGATCTGCGTTCCGGTAGTATTTAAAATTATCTCGGATCCACTTGTAGATGGCAGAGAGTGTCATTTTGTTGGAATTGTTCTGCATCGCCATGCAAATGAGATTGGCGTAGGAGAATGGTGGTTTAACAGAATCATCGTTGGCGAAATCAATCGTTGGTGGCGGTCTCTTTCGAACAACCGTAGGAGGTGGTGAAGGCTTCCGAGGTATGATTGACGGCACTTCATCGAATGGCACCTGGTGTTTCAAACGACATTGAACTGAGTCGGACATCCTCTAAATGGATCGCCCTGAAAAAGTTATCTCTCTTCGACCTCTACATACATACGAACTCACCGGACTAGCTGGCGGAGTTGGTGGAGTTGGTGAACCGATTCTGCCCATGATGTTGAGATTTTGAAGCCAATGAAGTGACGTGAGCGAATCGTCCACCTCAGGCTGCGCCGACGACATTTCTCCTCCACAACTGATTCTTATGAGGGACACCAGGATTATTTACAGAGTATGACTGCTGAAAGAAAAGGGCACAAGCTCAATATTGAGATTTGAGTCATCACACTATGAGACCGAGCCGAACTCTGAAGAAAGATCGGCGAGAAGCTTCCAGAAAATCGCCCAGGTATCGAAGCCTCGCTCCGAGGACACTGGCTTCCTTTTAATGCTGAAGTGACCCCATCTACTCTCCGACGGAGCACTCGGTTGCCTTCCCTGGCCAGAAGTTCCCCAATCGTTCCCTCAGTGGATCCTCTCTTCCCTGGTGTAGGAGTCGGGGAGCGTCGCCGATCGGTCGGCAGGTCCAATACGGAAATTACTGAATTTTCGTGAGTGAGTATAATATGATAATTATGTGTACGTGAGCTCAGGAGTGCGATATGCCTGTGGAGTTGCGCACAATCAAGGGAAGATTCACTGGACCGATTCTTATCCGAATAATATTATTCTATTAAAAAATCCGAGATGAATATGCGGGACTCGATTGATTTTCTCAAAGGCCTCGTGTTGTGAGGAGAAAGCCACATCGCTCCGAGGACCAATTTGTAATTTGTGATCAATTTGTTACCGGTTCCAATTCATGGGCGACAGACCCTCTCAGAATGAGCACAAACGAAAGGCAACGTCACTCGAGTGTATTATGGAGTGCAGTCTCTGGGCTGTGTCTCGAACCTAGAGATAGATACGCGCAAGGAATATTCTCGCGTGTAGCATCGTCCGGCGAGTCAAGCAGCCGGGTGACTGAGGCAGCAGGTGAGCTACAGATGTCGAAGGAGTGAATCGAACTTTTGAGGGAAAGACCGGAGGAGCTTCAAACAAGAGTAGATGCGAGTCGACTCCGAATAGCTCCTTGTGCGTGACCGAGGGGAAATGCTGATTGGAATGAGAGAAAGACCTATTGATACATCGATTCGACGAGAGACCGCTTCTACTCAGGTAGTCAGTCGGTCGGCCCAGCCAGCGGTCCGTCACGGTAGACGACAACGACCAAACAACAACACCGACAGTGGCTCCAAGAATACTAGCAGCTCACGCAGCGGAGCTCGGCGGCATCGATCCACGGCGACAACGACGACGACGACAAAGGAGAGGAATCGATGATGATTCAATCCCCCGCTTCCCCAACGGACGGACCCGCTAGGAGGCAACGACGATGCGATCTGGCTCGGGCAACTACCGGGAGCGGAATAAGCAGGGAATGGAAGGCGGGAGTGTAATGGTTGCAGTCCCATATATCTTCAAGCTTCCCCCTTCCCTTATGCGGAGCTTTATCGTACGATTTCCTTCATAATCCCCTCGTCGTTTCGCTCCGAGGCTCTTTTCCTGGACGTGCGCTGCGCGGCGCGATTGCTTCGATCGGGTCGTTGCCCTCACGTACACCGACTGGATTGGTCTCTCCACAGCCAATGAGAGCGAGGGTAGCGATACTCAGCGTACTCTAGCTCCTCCCACTCACGGAGCTCTCTTGGAGAGAGAGAGAGGACAAGGGACGTGAGAGAGCAAAAACGATGGAGAGACACAGCTACTGAAAGCGCACGAAACAGAGATCCGAAAAGAGAGGAGCGGAGAGTGCTCGCTAAGCGTACGAGTAGCTTTGGAAGACGATTGCTCATTCGAAACAACGTATCCGATCTGACTCACTCCGCTACCGGATCCGATCGTCGACTGGAATTCTCGTCGTGGGAGGGGTCCGAAATTCCTGTTCTCCCGGGAAGAGGATTCAGCCTCGTCAAGGAAGGCGGTAATGTGGAAGCGTTGGAATACGTGCTCTCTCCTATTGAAGAAAACACTAGCATCGAGACTTCCCGATCGGAATTCACATCCAGCTCTATTCAGTCCAGCAGGCATAGGGACGAGGGCTCGGTCGAGGACGCAGAGGGATCGGAAATCCGCGAAGCCACGAAATCATGATCCATGAGATCACATGAAGTTCGCTTGTTCTTCACACATGATGGTTCATGTACCGATGATTAGAACACGTAATCAGACGTTCGAGACCTAATATTTTCCTCGATTGATGGACTCGAGCCTTGATCGATCACCTTGTTGTGACTCATGAGGAGGAATGTCCGACGAAAGAGCATTCCCGATTCACTTTTATGCCTCTACCGATGGATGTCTATAGCCGTCAGGGAATATGAGACCTTCTCTGTTCCCTTCTTGCGTCGCCGATTCCGATCTCGCGCTCGTTCATATCCTCAGATCTCCTCTTCCTCTCGCTCTTTTCACCGAGTTGTCAGCCTATATGCCCGTACGTTCGTGTAGCTCGTGATGCGTGCGTCCATCAGTTACAATCGTCACCACTCTCAACGGAAACAAAGTGGCCTTTCGCTCCCTCGCGTTTGACCCCACGAAGCGGCAACAATTTACACATTTAGGGGAGTTTCGTTTTTCAGGAGCTCTGTGCGACTCTGCTCCCCCCGAGTCTTTCACATCTGCTCGGATTTTGATCGTTCCATCCCGTATCGAGAGGGAATCGAGCGCGAGCCGGGCGTTATGATCCGATTTTCGGAGCCGACGCCGAGCCATGCAGTCCAGATACGGTTGGGCGATCTAATAACGATTTTCCCGTGAGCGCTCACAGAGCGACCTAGGCGGAAACGCGTTCGAACAGTGTACGCTCATATTTATCGCTTGCCATGTCGAGCGAAAAATCGCTGCAAAAAAACCTGATTGAATAAATTCCAAACCTGGATGAAAACAACGCTTTTCAAAACACAACAACAGCATGAAGCAACTAGTCCCTCGAGGACAGACCATTTTTTCCTGAGCGTGAATATCGAATCAACGAATAGTATGCAGCTGCTCTGAGCTGCATCGCTCACTAGATCGGTCGTACGCCGCTCGATTCGCTGATCGGTCTGTCGCTCGCCAGCTCGCTTGGTTAGTGGCTTGGTAGGCGACTTGCGTCCCGGAGTCATTTTCGATCGATCAATATACTACCCGCCACTGGCTAGATATCAAGTTTCGGAGTTTAGAACTCGAAATTGTCAACAGAATCGTATTTTCGTCGAGCAGAGTATCAAGGGAAATCACAGTATGAAGACTTTCGGAAAGATCGATGACTGTGATTCCAAGATCTCGAAAGGTTCGCAGAAGCTTCTCAAAAGATATGGCTCCCTCTGTCAGCTCCTTCGCGAGCGCCCCCTGCTCGAGCTTTTATATGCGATGCACTTCCCACAGTCTTCCCGCAGCCAGGATATGCTCAAACATAAGCAGGAAGAGTGTGGCTCGAGCCTATGGGTGGCGCTTCTTAAAATAGAGAAGAGCCTCAGACGGAGGCGTGGCTCCCTCCGAACCACGCAGGGAAGGTTTTCCGAGAGCCTGTTTCAACGACGAAATTGAAATTAATTTCGAGCCGCGATATCTCGAATTCACGAGGCAACAGGCATAAGGGTAGAAAGCGACGATCACGGAGGGCCGACCCCGCCTTTCCCCCCTCGTTGATTCCAATGACAGTCTCCCAAATCGTAGGCGCATCGATGTTGCCAACGTTGTGATTCCCATCGCTTCTAGTCTGATATCCTGCTGAGAACCGGGACCTAGTATCTTCCGCATTGAGATTCAGAGCGCAGCGCGCCATAAGCGGCCGATAAGGAGAGGCGTACAGACTGTGTCGCAGTGTCATGGGAATTTAGCCCGGCTTTCGTTTCGGTGTTTGCTTTTCTAGATTAACGAAAGCAATGCCACAAAGCGAAATGATAACGTCGAGTAGTTAACTCACATTGGTATTCCGCAGCACGAAGATGCGACGATAGGCGTGGGAGAATCGTCGCGAGCTTTTCGTTTACGATTCGTGGCATCGAGCACGAACGCGACCAATGGACGAGTCCTGGATCTTCCGAGACATTCTACACGGAGATCATGCCATCGACCCAAAGTGATCCAGAGCGATCTCGTCCATGGCGCACCAGAGGAAACCGTTCGTCGCAACCGTCTATTGCGTTCCAGACTCCTCTAGAGCCCCATGCTCGTAGACGAAGAGGGACTCTGCGACAGGCTCTCAAGAAGAGGGGCCGAGCGATCTTGTCCGACGGACTGACTGACCGAGACTCGAAGGGAACGATATAGACGGGCAAAGGCTTGGACACCTCTTCGCGGAGGAACGAGTGCCGACCGGCAAGCTTCGTATTCGAGGCTGAGGTGCTTATCGGATTGGCTGAATTTCTTTCAGCGACTTCCGGTGGGATTCACTTCTCATAGACCGACGCAGTCATCGTCGAAGTGAAGAGTTCGTGTCAGTGAGTCGCAGTGAGTTGCATAGTTTCGTGCCGGTAGTCACGAAATGAATGACGACCGCAACAACAACGACTACCGCTACAACTATGAACAGGCAAGCGAGCGGATGGATGCTTCAAGTGCACTTCTTCCGTCGATTCTCTGTTAGGACGACGACGACGACGGCGGCGACTCAGCGAGCCGGCGTTACGTTTCCGTGGGATGATGTCGAACGAACGAAGCGATTGTTTGGAGGGCACACAGCCTGAACGAGCGGACAAACGCACGAAGCGAGCGGACGCACGGATGGATGGCTAGCTGGTAGGCTGGTTGGTCGCTTGCTCGGTGGATCGCTGGAGGAATGGCAAACCAGCAAGCCATTGAACTCTTCCTCCTTTGAGATCGGACGGACGTAGGCAAACGTCCAGGTCGCGTTGCGTCGCCTCACTTCTGCACACCACGAGCACCGAGCTCACACACACCCACCCACTCACACACACATGAGCACAAACACGTCCAGACGCGCGGCACACACGCACATCGTCTACTCACACAGCTCACTCGCGCCATCAGAAAACGAAAACCGGAGCGTTTCATCCCGTTCGTGCATCCTTTTATCGTTCACGAACTTGACGCTCTGTGGCGGCTGAGATCCATTTCCTATCATCGCTTGGAATTCCTTTTCCCTACAAAATAGTGCCCGGTATTTCGATCGAACGGCTGACCCTGAACTAGTGTTTTGA